ACAGTCACGCTCGAATTCTAGCGCGCGCACGTCGTCCACGAATCCACGCGAGTTGTAAAAACCGTACGAAGGATTCTCTCTCTCTCTCTCTCTCTCTCTCTCTCTCTCTCTCTCTGTCCACCTACTACTGCTACTGCTACCACCACTACCCCCGTCGTCTCTCCTCTTCCAGCCGGCTGCTTTTCACGAGGACGCGTAAACGGCGAGACGCGAATCCCTATCAACACGATTTCATCGATGACACAAATCTTCCATTTCTACGTAGAAATCTCCGACGGTGGTGATGCGTCGCGCGCGAGGTCCGCGGTCGGCGTGGCAGCGCGTGCTCAGCTCGTGCACAATCGCGGCGCGTGAAAAGCTGCGTTTCTCGCTCGTTCCTTGCTTCCCTTACCGTGTACCACCTTATCTTCTCGTATATTTGAATTTCTATGACTGAGGAAGGCTCTGTGTGTGTGTGTGTGTGTGCGCGCGCGCAGACATTTTTCGGCAACTCCATCGGCCGAGACAGCGAGTTTTACGATCTACAAACGTCTCTTTGTAACGAGTAACTCAAGACTCGGCCCGAGACACCGGCTGAGCGAGCTTACGCTACATTATTACAAGACACACACATCACAGGTGTAGAAATCTCGTAGACCGACGCGACAAGTACAACGGGTAAAATTGGAGAGTGAAAATTCACGAGCGAGAATTACCAAGTACGAGAAGTTCCGAGGGTCGGGATAAAGAGATATTTCGCAAGAGAGAGAAAATGGTCATAATGCCGGGTCGCAGTGCTAAAAAAGAGAGAAAGAGAGAGAGAGAGAGAGAGAGAGAGAGAGAGATAAAAGATGATTTGCGTAAATAACGAAAATCACGAAACTCGTTGTAAGCGGGCAAAGAGAGCAGAGAGAATCGCGAGAGAGTCTCGATGAACAAGACGGGTTAGCAGCAATCGGGATTAAAGAGGAAGAAATAATCATAGGCGGGAATAACGCACGGTCACTCCTTGCGCTCCTCACTCAATTCCTAGAAGCTGCAATTACATATTCTCGTTTCTTCTTTTTGTTTCATTCCCCTCGCGAGCGTTCTCCCTCTCAAAGTCACGCGGTGCACAAGCTAACGACCTGGATAACCGGCCGTGATATTTCCAAAGTAATGTCATCGTTGGCCACGATGCGACGCGAGGCGACGGCTCTGACGACAGAGGCACTCATTACAACTTCCGGTTCGGGAGAGTGCGCGCGAGCGAGGAAGAGAGGCATATAGAGTAATCGACGGTCGAGGGAGGAGAGAGGGCGAGGTCGACAGCGAAAGAGAGAAAGAGAGAAACGGTCGACGACACGGCACAAACCGTGTGCGGGGGAGAGAGAGAGAGAGAGAGAGAGAGAAAGGGAGGCGGGAGATAATGCGAGAGAGAGAGAGGAGAAAGAGGAGGATGAAAAGAGAGAAAGAGAGAGAGAGAGAGAGAGAGGCACGGCGGGCGAAAACGCTCAACAAATAGCCACATCCTCATAATGGAACGGCGTATTAAACTCATTAGACGTCATCATTGAATCGACACGATTACGTTCCGCGGAAAATCACGAGCTATCGGGCGACGACGAAACGCCGTCGGGACTGGACAAGTCTCGGCGTCGGCGACGCCGACAATGACGGCAACGGGCCAAGCGGCCACACGCGGCCGACGAAAGAACTCGCGCACGCGGCGCGCGTTGCAGCAGTGATTCATGCCAGGTATGTCAAACTGGTTCCGAGGCGGGCCGAGAGACGGAGTCGAAAAATCATGCCCTATCTAGCTAGACACAATGCAATGTAATAGAGAAACCGGGCCCCGGATATGCACCGCGTTCTCCCTGCTGTCTCTCGCGGCGTCCCGCTACGCGACGCGGACCGATTACGATTTTCGCGGCGGAAGCTCGCGCGCCACCGAGAATCGCTCCTTTCTCACGTCGAAACAAGTGAAGGAAAAGAGCGCATCACAATGGCAGTACCCTCCCCTCCCCCCCCCGGCCCGCGCCGATGAACCCCTCTCTCTCTCTCCCTCCCTCGCTAATTCACGAGAGTGGCGATCAATGCTTGGCGGCGAACACGCCGGCCGACGTTTCTGCGCGCGGCAACTCGGGGATCCTCTCCTGGCGACGCTGGGAGAGCGGACGCGGGCGAACGAACGCGTTTGAATTAATGTGACATTCCGGAAACTCGAAGAGTTTTCAAGGTGAGCTCCACCCGCTCGCCCTCCCCCTCCTTCGCGGCACCCCCCCCCTCACCCGGTTACGACTTCGTCCGGCTTCGAAGGCGGTTCTCACGATGATCGCGGGCTCTCTCGCGCGATTCCCTCCGTTGAAAAAGGACACGCGAGAGAGCCGAGCGGAAGGAGGAGAATGAGCACGTACACACGCGCCGCCACTCCGAGGCGAGGCTCGGAATTTCAAACGCGAGCGCGGTAACCGCGGCTTGTGACATCGTTCTAACTGTTGAGAGTCTAATGTCGTATCGAGCGGTCAGTGTTAGCTGCGGGCGTGTCGACCGCAGAGAGCCCGGGTACGGCTTCCTTCCTCCCTCTCTCCTTCTCTCCTTCTCTTTCTCTCTCCCCCCTCTCTCTCCCCCCCTCTCTCTCTCTCTCTCTGTTGCGAACGGATACGTTACATACGACATGTATGATGTTCCACGACAACTGCGGCTCGCGAATTCGACGATCGATAATCTCGGACGATCTCGCGCAAATCGATTCGCCAGTTCACGCGGAGAAGTTCGCACGCGCGCGCAGATATGCGGTGTAACGCGCGTACATGTGTGTGTGTGTGTGTGTGTTGTGTGTACATGTACGAACTCGGGGACGCCGGCCCCGAGAACGGTATTGATCGTCGCGATTGGAGCCGAACGATCATTCAGCAGCGGCGCACAATCGCCGGCAGACGTTAAGATTTAAATGGCAAGGCCATAGCGCGAGCGCGAACGCACGTTTCGTTTTAATTTCTAAACATTTTGCAGGACGAGTCGGCGCGCAAGACCACCGACGCGACAACAGCGGCCACGCCGCCCGTCGTCGTCGTCGTCCGACATCGAGCTTGCTGCCTGCTCTCTGCTGCTGCTCGCCTCGCCCAATTGACTCCGAGAGAGAGAGAGAGAGAGAGAGAGAGAGAGAGAGAGAGAGAGAGAGAGAGAGAGAGACCGAGAGAATAGAGAGAGCGTACACGACCGACGGCAAGATTTTTATCATTCGCACACGCGCGCCGATAAAACGATGCCGAGTAAACACACGCTCGGCCATATGTACGAAATACCTGACTTTTTCTCGATAGATATACTACATACTTTCATGTTCTGACCTCGCTACTCACATTGTAAACACGGGCGATAAACATGACGAGGCTAATGATGCTACGAAATCGTTCAGCTCGAGACGATAAGACGTCTGGGCACGCGTGAGATGCTCCCTCGCGATACAGACCAAAACGCCGCGTTACGAAAATTTTAGACGAGCGCGAGCGCGAGCTGACGGCTCTCAAGTCAGCCGCTTTATCGCACGGAAACGATTACGTATACGTCCTTTGTAGCACGTTTAAAAGTCATCGACGAATTTCAAATCGTCGTCGTCCTCGTCGTGGTCTTCGTCGTCGCAATCGGCGGCAGTGACGACGACGACGACGACGACGACGACGACGACGACGACACTATGAATACCCCAGGCAACGAGATGCAACTATTTCGGACACTATTTGGAACGCAACAACGTGGCGGAGAAAGCAAAAAAGAAAAACGACGGGATCGAGCCGTTCGTTGTCGCCGTCGTCGGCGCGACATGAAAGAAAACGGCAAATCGTAGAAATTAGCCGTTTCGCAGAACGGTGACCGGCTCTCCCTCCCCCCTCCCTTATCCCCCCCCTCTCTCTCTCTCTCGCTCTTCAAGGTTGCCCCGAGAGAGTCATCGGTCCCGAAACGATGCAACGTGCGCGACGTAATACGCGTCTTTATTTATGAACCGCGTCGCTTCGCATACAACGTTGCAGCAATCGAATTGTAAATACTTTTCCAACGACACGATGACGACAATATCGAACGACAGCGGGGGGAGAAAGGGAGGCGCAGTGAGAAAGACGTTGAAAACAAGGAAAAGAGAGAGAAAAAAAACGAGGAACCGTAACGACCGCGACCTACGACAGGACGGGTTCGGAGCGGTTTACCTCCCCCCTCCCCTCCTCTCGATCTCTTCTTTATCGTCGTTGTCGCGCGCGCGAAACAGAATTCGAACGCAAATTGGTTTAATTGCTCTATCGCGCGCCGGTATCGAGTTTCGCGCGGTGGCGTTCGCGTTTACAGCCGTGCCAATGAACTGTCAGTGACGCGCGCGCGCGCTTTGCACGCGCCGCGTGCGACTCCGTCTGATCGGCGTCGCCGTGTAAAAGAGCGCGGAGAGACCGGCGGAGAAAGACGAAAACAGGAAGGGAAAAGTCGAAACAAAAGGAAAAAAAAAAAAAAAGGCAAGTGCGCTCTGGGAGCGTCGTAGAGGATTCGTCCGTGGCCGCCGGATGCGGATGCGACAAAGCACCCGCTCTCTCGCCCGTCTCTCCTTCCTTCCTTCTTCCTCCCTCTCTCCCTCCCTCCCTCCCTCCCTCCCTCCCTCCTCTCTCTCTCTCTCTCTCCCTCGCCGCGCGCTTATCGCGGCGAGATTCGTATTCGTCGATTACGCCAGGAGGCAGACAAGGAGAACGTGAAGAGCGACGCTCATCCTGCGGAAGTAACCGCGGTTTTCGCGCGTACGACGCTCGACGTCGTACGCGCGTCGAAGTGTGACCAAAGTATCCCGAGAGATCCGCGATGTATATCACGAGATAATCAATGTCGAGCCAAAATTAACTCGGGACGCGGATAAGATTACGAACCCTTGGCCGATAAGTGGAGCCGGCGAGAGCGTACGAAGATATACGACGACGACGACGACGGCGACAACTACGGGTATCGAAGGGAAGCATGCGAGGGGACAAATCTGTCGTGATACAAGCATATTTCGCACTCACCCTGTCGGCCGACGATTTCCGCCACGTGTTCGCTGCTGGGTACCGGCACGCACTCCGTCATGTTCTGGCTCTTCTTGGAGCGCGCCTCCTCGAAGACGTTGGTCGGCGCGGTCTGCAGCGGATCGGGATCGTTGGCGACTCCGTTGGCGGTGCCGGTGCCGGTGCCGGCGCAGTCCGGGCTGCCCTCGAGGCCGAGCATCGACAGCTCGAAGGCGAGCTGAAACGCGCGCCGGTCCTCGAGCGAGCCGGTGCCGCCGGAATTGCTGCGGTCCATCTCGCTGAACAGACTCGTCGGCATTTTACGGCTCTCAAGTGGAATATATGTCGTGTCGCGGGCGACACCGATTTCTCGAGACTCGTTGGACGCCGCCGACAGACGTTGGCTCGAGAGATCAGCCTGCTGCGGCCGCCGCTGGATGTTGTTCACCGCGTGTATACAACGCTGTCGTTGAACCCTCCCCCTCTCTCTCTCTTGCGCTCTCTTCCGTCGTCTCTTTATCGAACAAACGAGCGGAACGGTCCGCGCCGCCTCGCCGACGACGACGACGACGACGACGACGATGTTCGAGGGACGATTGTGGCACGCGGCGGCACGCAGCAGCAGCAGCGCCGGCGGCGACGGTAAGAAAAATGCGACGATCTCTCCACCAGTACGACGAAAAACGTGGCGTCGCGACGCAGCACGAACGTGATCACGATCGTCGGCGATTACGTGCGCGTAGAAAAGACCGGAGACTCGTGTGCAACGCCGACGCACCTCTTACGCTGTCGGTGATCGCTGCTGTGCGGCGGCTCTCGTCCTCGTCCTCGTCTTCTTCTTCTTCTTCTTCTTCTTCTTCTCCCGCTCTCGTCGCGTATTATAGCCCCGTGGTCCCCTCTCGTGGACGTCCGGCTACCGACAACGAGCAGTAGTCAGTCGCCCGTTCCTTTTAGCGCTGAAAACAGGCACCGCGCCGCCGACTCGTATACTCGTACGTGTTCGTGCGCGCACCGGCTACGAAAATGGCCTTCTCGATATCCCCACTGCTCTCTTCTTTCTTCCTCTCTCTCTCTCTCTCTGTCTGTCCGTCTCTATCTATCACTCACTCTCTTTCTCTTCCCCTCTCTCTCTCTCTCTCTCTCTCTCCGTCCGTCCGACGCGTGCGGTTTGTGCGGTTCGTATGTTCGCGGAGAGCCTCCCGTGTTCGTAGCAACTCCGCTCCTCTCTCGGCGCGTTTTTCTCGCGTAGTTGCGTTTTCGACCGTTTGGCTTTCGTTCGTTCGTTCCGCCTCTGTCTCGCTCTCGCTTCCTCCTCTCTCTCTCTCTCTCTCTCTGCCTCGCTCGTTCGCTCGCTCGCTCCCTCCCTCTCCTTCCTCGCGCTCCGACCGGACGACGACGTAACGACACGTTCGTGTGTTATACCACGTTCTCGACTGCCTCGTCACCGGCCGACTGATTCCCTGAAGAGCGACGTCGCGCGCGAGAAGAGACTTGTACACTGAAAACGGAGGCGAAAAGGGGCGCGCGCTCGCTTTCTTCTTTTCCCTTTCTCGCTCGTGCTCGTTCGCTTTCCTTACTACTCCTCTCCTTTTCTCTCTCTCTCTCTCTCTCTCTCTCTCTCTCTCTCTCTTCCTCTGTCTCTCTCTCTCTCTCCCTCTCTCACTCTTCGCTCTCTCCCACTCTCTTTCTCTATCCTCACTCCCTTCCGTTCGTATCGCTCGCTCTCTCCCCGATCGCTTCTCTTCTCTCACCGCGGTCTTTCCTTTCGAAGGCAGGCGCGTGCAACTACCCTCTCGCTCGTGTTACCACTGCGACTGACTGCAACGTACTGCGGCTATCGAAGCCGGCGCACCGCCATGTGCCGGGCGCCGGCTATGTGCGCGGCCGATTGGCTGCCGGTGTCACGTGGTACACACCACCCTTCCCCACCAGAGCGGCGCCAAACGGCGCATAGGCGTAGCGCATCTACCGGCGAAGCGGCACCGCAACGCAACGTAAAGCAACGCGACTCTGCTCCGCTCGATTCTCGGCTCGATTCGAGCGAACGAACGAACGAACGAACGAACGAACGAACGAACGGACGGACGAACGGACGAACGGACGAACGAACGAACGAATGAGCGAACGAGCTCGTCGCGCTCGATTCCTTCAGCTACGGACGCGTGCACTCCCGTGCTCGATCCGTATCACGCAACCCCCTCTGTGTATCCGTTCGCGACCCGAGTCTTCGCCGAGTATCCCTGTGGAAACGCTACGCCGCGCCACCACCGTCCGTCCGAACACGCGCCGCGCTACTGCCACGGCTTCTACTCTCTACCGATTTTCCAGAGCGACGAACCCGAGACGGCGGCCCGGGACTCGCGTTGGCCGGGACGAAGCGGCCGGCGACGGTCCCGTTTGTGTCTTCGGCTTCGATCTTGCCGCGCGCGCGCTGCTGCTGCTGCTGCTGCTGCTGCTGCTGCTGCTTCCGATGCGGGTGTGAATCTCCCCCTGGTCCCGCCCGGCGATAGTAACTAGCTCGATGTAACACACCGGGCCGCGCCTGGAATGTTGTACATATATATACGTACGTGTATGTGTGTGTGTGTGTGTGTGTGTGTGTGTGTGTGCACACATACGGGCGTATACTCGTATCAAGTTGGATCGCAAATCGATTCACATCCGCTGCCCCTTGTTCCCCTCCTCCCTTCCTCCACCCATGCGTTCAAAGAGCCGATAGGTGCAGATTAGTTTCGAGTGTCGTAGCCGTGAGAGAGTGAGAGAGAAAGAGAGAGCGAGCACGACCCGCGATGTCGCGCGTCTCTTGACGCACCGAGTTCGAATGTAAACTCGCCCGGCGAAATAAACGTCGCCCCCGCGACGACGTATGATTTTCCCGGCGAATGTCGAACGGGTCAAAGTGCACCGACCTAGGTGGATCGTATAACGCTCTTTCTTCTCTCCTCTCTTCTCCGTGGCCGTCCGTCAGCGAGCCTCGCGTGTGTACGCGCGCGAGGCGCACCGACGCCTCTCTCTTTCTCCCCCTATCTCCCTCCCTCCCCCCCCTCTCTCTCTCTCTCTCTCTCTCTCTGTCTGTCTCTGTCTCTGTCTCCTTCTCTCATTTTCCCCTCCCTCTCTGCACATGGTTATCTCTCCATTTTAGCGGGCGAATAAATAATGTACGTTCCGCGGACGTTTATAAGTCCGGAGAAATAATAGCGACGCGTCGTCCAAATCGTAAATCGCGGCACTCGCGCGAGTCAAGAAGCGTCACGGCGACGCGTCCGCGTCGTGCCGCGAAAATTAAACGTGTCCCCCGGGCAGAAAGCCGCCGCCGGTCATCCCGCTCTTCCTCTCCGTGTCCGTTTCCCCCTTCCCCCTCGCGCACCTCTTGCGATTTACCTAATTGAGTTTTTCAAGAACGGCCGAGGCGCGAGAGGATCCTCTCGCGCGCGCGCACACACACACACACACACACACACACACACACACACACACACACGCACACACAGCAATCGCGCCGAGTTATCGCCCTCGATTATCGTCCTTGAACCTCGGCAGCGGATGGCTCTCCGCGGCGTGACCAGCGGCTGTACACGCGGGATGCGAGCCGTCGAGCGTTCCCGAGCAATGTTACGATTTAGTTTCTACTTAGCCAAGTGCGGCTTTCGGATATTATCTACTCCGCGAGCTTGCGGTTGACCCTAAACTTGGCAATGCAGCCCGCCGCGCTTCTGCGATACGTATAACGCTCGGGCGGCCTTCCTTACCTACATTTTTGTCGCTCGCGCGGATGTGCCCGCGATTAAAGCGCATCGCTCTGTCTTCTTCGATGCGACGTCCAGCGAGAGCGGGCCTCTGAATTTTCTCCCCCCCCCCTCCTACCTCTCGCTCTTTCGATACCCCCGATGCGACATACCCGCACGCACCAAGCGTCACGTGCGCCATACGCGAATAAAAAGAGTAATCGCGCGCTCCTCTCATTATCGTAATCGTAAACTTCCCCGCAGCCTCTCTTTCTCTCGCTTCTCCTCTCGGGGGGCTCGTGGAAGCCGCGGTCGAGAGCGCGGCGCGGCGCGGGACTCAACCGGCGACTAATCGGAATTTATCGGGTGACCAGCTCGCGCCGCGACACACTCGACATGCCTAATCCGTGCGGGCGCGCAAGGTCGCTCGTCGTCCTGCCGATACCTGGTGGTCCCCCTCCCCCCCCCCTCGCCGCTCAATTCGCGAATCACGACCGGGCCCCTGGCCACCTGCCCGACTAGCGGTTTCGTTAAGTAAGAGTGAAAAGAGGATTCCGTCTCTCCGAAAGGCGATCTCTAGTCGCGCGCCCGCGCGGACCTTGAACCGAGGCGCAAACGTGATCCATTGTTCTCTGCCGACGACCCTTCGTCCTCTCTCCGAGCGCGCGCGCGCGCGCGCGCGCGCGCGAGGGAGGGAGAGGGAGAGCGCGAGCACGGCTCGATTGCTCGATTTTTAGCCGGGGCCCACACGATCGCGGACCCGTGTCCTCCACTTTCGAGGACAGACGTGAAACGGGACAGGGCGGGGCGGGGCGAAGTGGACGGACGGACGGACGAACGGCCGCCAGCGATCCGCGAATAACGCGAATCATTGTTTTCCACGTATCGAGGCGCGGGCGGCTCGCATTTGAAGCGTGCGCCGAGCGTTCGTCGATGCAATCGTGTAATCCGATAACGAACCAATAGAGGGAGGGAGATAGCGCGAGCCGGCTCTCGCCCTGTCCGCGGAGCGAGACGAGGGGACTATCGGCGAGATCTGAATTCGCTCGAGAAGGTGCGACTAATTTTGTTTCTCATCGCATGCATCGAAAGCAACGACCCGTGCGCGTATGCACTCTCCGTGGCGCGCGGTCTCTCCGTCTTTCTCTCCCTCAAGGCTGTCTCGAGACACCACCTTTTGCCCGGCGAGCACCTGCCGACCGCTCGTGCTCTCCGTCGGCTCGCTCGTAAATACCTCGGTGTTATCGTGCGTATAGTTTTCAAACGTCCGCGTGCATACACATATTCGACCCTCTTTCGCGAGGCGCGAAACGCCCCGGCGGGACACGAGCGAGCCAGCACGACGTCGTCGTCGTCGGCCAAGAGGTACGTTGTGTCAGCGCGGAACACGTCACGCTCGATTACTAATCGCAGCGTCGATTACTTCAGGGGAGCGCGGACGATCGATAATGCCGGCCGACCGACCGACCAATAACGATCTCAGAAAATGTGTGTCCGTTTTTTCACGCACGCGTACCTTAAACAAGCAAACTCCTATTACAAGCTATTTATAGATACGTGTGTATACACGTGTGATAATCATTATAATTATTAAAAGTCTTCAGTTTGTGCTCCGAGCCGAGGCTGTTCGAGCGAACCGCCATCGCCATCGCGAGATTCTTCCACATCTTCCACTTTATCCCCTTCGAATTGAATCGAAGACAGAGAGAGAGAGAGAGAGAGAGAGAGAGAGAGAAAGAGAGAGATTCGCGCGGTCCCTTCGCGGTAATAGCAGGATTCACGACCTTTCCACGGCGGGACGAGGTTGTCCCGGCGCCAGACAGAGCGCCGAAGGATGCGACCGGTCGCGGTCGACCCGACGCCGAAAGGACACGTCACACCGCGTCGCGCCGCGTCGATTTTCTGGCCGGCGCGTTAACCAACTCTTCCCATCTCGCTTTCTCTCTCTTTCTTTCTCTGCCTACCCTCCCCTCTCTCTCTCTCTCTCTCTCTCTCTCTCTCTCTCTCTCTCTCTCTCTCTCTCTGCCTCTCCCTCTCTCTCTCTCTCTCTCTCTCTCTCTCTCTCTCTCTCTCTCTCTCTTTCTCATCGGTGTTCCGCGTCGCTCGTCGTATTTTTACGACGTGCAACCGGTTGCCTTCCACGTCGCGATCATTGTCGTTGCTTTGCGAAACCGGCGACTCCCGTGGCGCAGCGCAGCGCAGCGCAGCGCAGCGCGGAGCGGCGCGGCGCGGCGCGACGCGTCCTCGCGCAAACCGCGTATACACGCGCGCGGGTAGACGACGACGACGACGACGACGACAACGACGACGCACCGGCCCTCCGTGTATACGCGAGATAGGTGCGCGGTGCAGCGGCGGAGAGAGCGCGGGGAGGGAAGGATATTTCTTTCGATTTCGATCGCCGGGGCGCAATGACGCCGGAGAGAGAACCGCATTGCTGGCCTCTGAGTCGGCGGCACGATGGCGACGACGTAGCGCGCGCGCGCGCCTCTCTCGACATCGCTCGCCAAGTCGCGCGCGTGCGCGAGTCCAAACCGCCTTAAACCCGCCGTCTAAATCCGCCTTTCATCCCCGATAACGAGACACAGCTGCTGTTATCACGAGCACCGAGCGCTCGAGCGCAAGGGATTAATAATGCGCGCGCGCGCGCTCAAGCGTGCGCGCTCTCGAGGACCTCGATATTGCCGTAGTGTGCATTAACGAATAATTGCGAGCCGGACTCCTTGCGCGAATTAGGCTAACTGAAACGTCATTCCGCTCTCTCTCTCTCTCTCTCTCTCTCTCTCTCTCTCTCTCTCTCTCTCGCATGTCGCGAGCTAATCCGGCCGAACTATGGTACTTCGGCGGCGAATTATCCCTCGCAATGCGCCCCGCTATCGATTGGCCGCCTAATGTCCGGTTATCCGCAAAATCGCGCAGCCGACCGCACTCGCGCGCGCGCGTGGATCTCCGTCGCCGCCGAGACCGCAGCGCGGCGCAACGGCGAAAACGCGCTGATTAGCGCGGCCGCACGCCCCGCGCCGCGCGCTCCTCCTAACTAAATACGAGCGCAGCCCTCGCTGCTCGTTCGCTGCTCACCGATCATCGCGACGACGCTCGTCGCCGTCGCACCTCGGGATCTCGCTGCGTCACGCAAAAGTGCGCTTAACCTTGCCTCGCGTCTCGCCTCCGACGATTGCGATACGCTCGTGCGTGAACGCGCGTAAACCGTCTCTCGCGCCGCGTTTTTCCCGTTTCTTTCCTCATCCGGCCGAGACAGCCTCCTCCTTCTCCTCTTCTCTTCTTCTTCCTCCCCCTCCTCCTCCTCCTCCTCCTCCTCCTCCTCCTCCTCCTCCTCTTCGTCGGCGTTGTTCCCTCGGTATGAATGAGTACTCGCGCGATGTACCCCCCGACACTCCGATCATCCCGACGTCTCCTCTCGCGAGGACCGTGACGCCGATTAAAGCTGCATTCCCGAGCTGCTCCGAGCTGCGCCGCGATACTCCGGGGCTCGATGCAAGATTTATGCACGCCCGAGAACGCATCCACAGAAACGGAAAATGTTCGTTCGGCCGGCCGTTTCTAGGCTACGTTTTGTACATACAAAGGACTCGTGAGAGCCGGGCCAGTGGTGTAGGCACGACGATCTTTCCCGAGCGAGGGGGATCGCGTCGATACGT